TGAGACTTTAACAAAACTAAGGCGTGCCATTCAAAACAAACGAAGAGGAATGCTCAGTAAAGGAATTGTGTTGCTCCATGACAATGCTCGGCCCCATACTGCTGGTGTCACTCAATCGTTAATTCGACAGTTTCATTGGGAGCAGTTCGATCACCCGCCGTACAGCCCGGACTTGGCGCCGTCCGACTATCACTTGTTCCTGCACATGAAGCGCGAGCTTGGTGGCAAGCGCTTTGGATCTGACGATGACACGAAAAATGCTGTGGAGTCGTGGTTATCGAAACTGGCGGGAAGTTTCTTTGACGATGGTATACAAAAACTGGTCACCCGCTATGACAAGTGTTTGATCATTGGCGGAAACTATGTTGAAAAATAGTTTAAGACATGTATTTTCATGTAAAAAAAAAATTGGATTCGAAAAAATTGTTTTACTTTTTTTTTTTTTTTTTTTTTCAAACGGTACTTAGTTTCCGAATACGCCTCGTATTTAAGATTGAAAAATCACCCTTATTCATACAGAGTTTTGAAATCAAAAAATTTATATATCAAAGTCGTTGAATCGAAAAATTTAAGGGGTCAACAAACTTATATATGTATACAATCAAAAAATCAACAAAAGACACACATAACAATAAATTTCGAACAATATTAATTTAACATATTGCATAACTTGTAATAATGTTCTATGATAGTACAAGAAATGAGTGAAAAAAAATTAAGTGTACTGAAGTGTGGAAGAATCTTTTAGGAGCCAAACAAAGGCAACTGATGTGAATTATAAACGGCTGAGAAAAAATCATTGTCAAGTGCACAAATAACATAACTTACATCATTTAATTTAGAAGAAAAAGTTTTCGAAAACCTATGATGGAATGTAACCTTAAATTACACTACAGCCAAGTATCTTCATCTCTGACAATTTCCTTAAAATAAAAAAAATAAAAAAAAAAAAAAAATGCCGTCTATTCATAGCTCAAAAATTCAGAAAAGATAATGTAGAAATCTGAAAAATAACAATAAATAAGTGAAGAATAAATTACACATGAAAAAAAAAGCAATGAAAGTGCAGCACAGTAGTACCAAGTGCAGTTTGACGCGCAATACTGAAATTATAAAAATGTCAAAACAAAACTAACCTTTATAGTCATATATCTTTATCAATTATAACCCTTTTTTTCACACATGTAATTAATTGTCCATCGAGCACATACAATGAATTCAACTACAGAATTTACAGTCCACAAACAATGCGGTTTGGAAATCTTCTGCAGACTTTCAGTCAACAGTGGAAATGTAAAATCCTTTTTAGTAGCAACATTATCTGCAACCAATGGAGCGTTCTTTTTATTCACAGGCACATTTCTTGCAGCAGGTGCTTTTCTTTTACGTGACGTTTTGGATAAATATGAAGGCAGATTTGGAAAGATTGAGGGTATTGCTCTTTCTTGGAGTCTAGGGCGGCCCATTTCCAACTTGAATATTGTGCCATCGGACAACTTGGTCTCATAAAATCGTTTTATATCACTTTCTGCAAAATGATGCTCACGTACAACATCCTTCTCTGAAGGTATTCGGCGGGCACGAGGAATTGCATGTCTTCATTTGTCTAGCAGCACAGGATCCTGTAAAACATATTTCAACAAGTATATATAAATATCAGAATTCAGTTAGATACAAAATAAAAATACTCTTGTTGTATGCAATTTTTTTAACGCGACTTTGATGCAAATTTAATATTAAGTGAATAAAATTTAAATTTGAAAATAGCAATGGCAAATTAAAATTTAATTGCAGCACGTAACGCTTGAATAGTTTTACACATTCAAATTTAAAATCCTTGTGCATAATGGTTCTCACTGTGCACTGTATCAAGATTTAAATCTTAATTTTTATCAGCCATTCAATTATGTGATTAGGTGGCATGATTTCATAATATTCATAACTTATTTAATATGCTGAATTTATCTCATGGAAAATCAATTTTTCATTACATTTATCTGCTGTTATGTTTTCACTCAACCATGAAAGTAAAGTTAATTTAAGGAGCACAGTGTTCATTTTCATTTATTATAAAACCTACTTCAAACGGAAAAGAAGGGGAAATGAGTTAATCTTTTCTGTAAATGAAATAAAGAGGCAAATATTCCATCATTCTTGCATAATTTCAGAAATTTATTTAACTTTAAAATCTCAGGATTGCCTGCTTTCATGCACGAAATGCAAATGCACATAAGTTCTGTGAAATAATTAACTAATTTCCAATTTAAAGTTCTGTGAAATATTTAACTAATTTCCAGTTTAAAGTTCTGTGAAATATTTAACTAATTTCTAATCTATTACTTTTTAAATACCCTCTTATTTACTAACAATCCAGACGTTCTGTAAAGTTATATAAATTCGTCTGACTGTGATCAGACGTAATATAAATGTTGCTCACCTTTGCAGCTCTAAATATACTTGGATTCCTGATTCCCAAGCTTTCATTCTTCTGCCTAACAGATGTATAACCACTGTTGCATCCAGCGACGAAGCAGATTGCATTACCTGCATTACAAGAATTACTCATGATGGAAATTGATATCAAATCAATATTTTCTGTATTGCTGCCTATGTCAAATCCTACGAAAAGTAGAAAAGCTAACGATTGCAGCGCCCTCTATAAATAATGCGACAAAAGTGGACCATTTTTGGGAAAAGTTGTAATACCAATTTCCTCTTCTTCTTGGCAAGATCAGTAAAATACTTAGGATATTTTAGAAACCTTGACTCCGTGGTCTTTGGCCAAGCTTTGTTGCCAACGGAGACATCAAAGGTATATATCCTGTGATGGCGTAGAACACACTTCCGGGTTCCGATTTGCGGAATTCTGTAAAACTCCTTATTTGGCTTCAATGCTGCTCTCTGACCTTTGTCCTTATATATAACTAACGTAAGCAAACAAGATAATTCTTACCTCTTCGTCTCTACCGCATTATAGCTCATTTCTCCTGTGTTTAAAAGTCTGATATTCTAAAAAAGTAACATAATGTATAAGTAATGTGTCGGCAATGAGCTTCAGTGTTTGGCAACAAGTAAGATAGTTGCCTTTAATATTTGCTTTCCAATTATAATCAAAAACAATGTAAAAAATATGTGTTGACGTGCTTTGACCACCGTTCCTGCAAAACTATTTTGTGTGTGAAGTGTGTAAAAAGTCGTTGATACAAATGGGAGGGCGTGAGGCCAAAAGCTGATGGCAAATCTTTGTGCTGAAATAAGTGGTAGATTTTTCTACAACACGGAAAATATCGTAACGGCATCAATTTCTTCTCCTTAGTCCGTGAATATTTCCTGGCAACACTGTAGTTTAAAATGGTTTCATCTCTTTTATATGTAATTTGGAGGAATGAAAGAACAAACTAAGCTTAATAAGTGCTAAGGTGAAGATTCATGTTGATAAATTAGTCCGAAATAAACAAACTTGTTTTTCATGACATGTGTTCCTGAAAATCATGCCATGTATATATCGCATTAGATGTGTCTTTTGTTCAAATGGTTGTATATCATATGTGCATGCACCAACTACTTTACTTAATCTAAACATTCCAGGTTGTCTTGAAATTGTAACATCTCCCACATTGCTATGAATTAGGGATAAGTTCTTGGTTATATTTCCAAAGAGACCTTGTCATTTTATCGCATATATTTGAGCATAACGTGTGTTGGAAATTTTCATGCGGAGAAAGAAACTTCTTACGAATTCATGCCTACTCCCCAACAGAAAAACCTCACATACAGGAGGTAGGTAAAAGTCATTTACACAGAAGTGTCAATAAAACCTGCATTTCCTTCTTAGTGCAGGATAAGAATAATCATAATGTGAGGTATGTATAAGTCATTTGCTGATAACTCCAGTTTAAAAGTCCAAATGCTTATTCACACAAAAAGAGAAACCTCGTGTATGCAGTGTGTAACAAGTCATTTAGACTAAAGAGTTATGTAAACAATCATATACATATTAGCACAGGAAAGAAACCTTGTGTATGAGGTGTATAGCAAGTCATTTCGTGTGTAAGGTATATAAGAATTCATTTGGACAAAAGAGCACCTTAAACATGAATATGCTTGTTCTCGCAGGAAAGAAACCCTATGTGTGCGAGATATGTAATAAGTCATATAGTCACAAACGTAGTTTAAAACACCATATAGTTATTCACACTGGAGAGAAACGTCATGTGTGTGAAATATGTAATAAGTCATTTGCTTACAAAGTTAGTTTAAACAACCATTTATATATTCACACAGGAGAGAAACCTCATGTGTGTGAAGTATGTAACAAATCATTTATTCAAAAAAGTGATTTAAACAAACATATTCTTATCCACACTGGAGAGAAACCTCATGTATGTGAGGTATGTAACAAGTCATTTATTCAAAAAGGTGATTTAAACAAACATATGATGATTCACAACGGAGAAAAGCCTCATGTGTGTAATGTATGTAATAAGTCATTTACTCACAAATCTAGTTTAAAGTACCATATATTTAGTCACACTGGAGAGAAACCTCATGTGTGTAGGCTATGTAGTAAGTCATTTGTTTACAAACATAGTTTAAACAACCATATGCTTATTCACACAGGACAGAAACTTCATGTGTGTGCAGTATGCAACAAGTCATTTACTCAAAAAGTTACTTTAAACCGACATATACTTTTTCACACAGGAAAGAAACCTCATTTTTGTGAGGTATGTAATAAGTCATTTACTTTAAAAGGTAGTTTAAACAACCATATGCGTCTTCACAGAGGAGAGAAACCTCATGTGTGTGAGGTATGTAACAAATCATTTACTCAAAAAGGTACTTTAAACAACCATATGCTTCTTCACACAGGAGAAAAACCTCATGTGTGTGAGATATGTAACAAGTCATTTGCTCAAAAAAATTATTTAAGCAAACATACTTTTTCACATCAAAAAGAAACCTCGTGTGTAAGTTTTAAAAAAGCATATTCAAACAATGAAAAGTTAGACACTGATTATACTGTTCTGAATCAGTAAGTTTTATTGATGTCGCATTCCTCCCATTCAGGTAATGCCTTGAGTTGTTTCAAGCTTAAAATGTTGAACATTTTCATTTGTTCTTTGGAAATTTCAATCTTATTTTGCACTGTAATTCACTTTTCATTTCTTTTTTCAGTTAAAGTGCAAAATCGCCCGCTTATATGGCACATATCGATGTGTACATGGACAAAGTGAAAGGAATTTGCAATGCCAAGTTTGTGCAATTCTCTGATTTTTTTTAAGTGAAAATAGGTTGATGTGTACATGGGTACCAAGTTTGTGCAATTCTTTGACTTGTTATTTTCAAATTGATGCAAAATCACTCACTTGTATGACGCTTATCAATGTGTAAATGGACAAAGTCAAGAGAGTGTGCAATGCCAAGTTTGTGCAATTCTCTGATTTTTTTTTTTTTTTTTTGGCTCTAGTGTAGAATTGGGTGCCCCTTCGATTAGCGACAATTTTTTTTTTTTTTTTTTAATTTAACCAGAAAGCTAAAATAGTTGAAACTATCATGGCAACCAGAAATGAAACCTCATTTCTGGTTACCATCATAGTTTCAACTTTATTTTAGCTTCCTGATTTTTTTGGGGGGGGGAGTAAAAGTATAGTTTAGGGTACCCCTTGGCGAAACTTGACGATTTTTGGAGGTACATGGATACTGATTTTGTGCAATTCTTTGACTCGTTATTTTGGTTTGCGAAGCGTCGATTTTTACGCCAAAAATCAACGCTACACAGAGCCAAAATAACAAGACAAACAATTGCACAAACTCGGTATCCATGTACACATTGACTTATTTTCACTTTAAAAAAATCCCCGAATTGCGCAAAAATGGCATTGTGCACTCCTTTGACTTTAGCTATGTATATGTTGCCCTATTTTCACTTAAAAAAAATCCTCGAATTGCACAAAAATGGCATTGCGCACTCTTTTAACTTTAGCTATGTACATGTCGACCTATTTTCACCTAAAAAGTCAAAGGAGCACCAAATTCTACAATATAGGCAAACAAAAAATACATTTTAAACCAAACAATAAAATAACATAAAAAAGGAAAAACATGTTATATATTTAAGCACTGCCATAAGCAAATATTCACTTACCATGATTTTTGAGTTCGCTTCGTACACCCAGAGCCACGTAAATGAGCCACGTACTCAAATGACATTTTTCAAACAAGGTACTCTTTCTGATCGAATGCTTCACATGGTGACCATCTGAACCTTTCTTCCTACAAACCCATTCAAATCCATCTAAACGGTTTTTATGTTCGACTAGACGCATATCCTTCCTACATACAGGACACTTATAATGGCTACTAAGTAAACCTTCATTTACACACCAGTCAATTAAAGCTCTTTTCTCCTTTCACTCCAAATCGTACAGGAACTTCAAATTAATCTTACTACATTCGGCCATTCTACAATCTAAAGAATCAAACCAATACACACCACAAAAATGCTCATGATTCAAAATTTCCCAGAATCATGCACCCGATTATGTCACAATAGGGTTTCTATAAAATCCAACTACTCAGGCTACCATAAATGAAACAACAACTTCGCCATAATACAAGGGGTACCTTTAAGTCTACTCTACCCTTTTTTTTTAATGAAAATAGATTGATGGACAAATTTAAGGCTTTGTGCAATTCTGGAATTTTATTTTTTTTTTTATTTATTTTTTTTTTTTTTTTCTTTTAAGTGAAAACAGATTGATGTGTATATGGAGTTTGTGCAATTGACTTCTTATTTTGCTTTTGTGTAGCTGCCATCTTGAAATTGTGCCTTTCTGGCACCAATCTTGGTACCCAAAAAGAATCGCCAAAAAACAAGGGACACCCAATTGTAAACTTTTACCATTTTTTTAAGTGAATATAGATTGATGTGTGCATGGATACTGAGTTTGTGCAATTCTTTGACTTGTTATTTTCAAGTTGACGATTTTGAGAAATGTGCGAAGCAGTGGGTAATTCTGCACTTTTCCCTATTTTTCTAAAAAAGTACAAAATATGAAATATATTCTTTTATGGTATCTGGTGCTGTAGGATTTAAGTATTTCTCTGATCATTATTAGATTTTTAAACTCTGTTTTTAATGTTGAGAATGCTTAGAAATTAGATTTTTGCAAGCTTATGTGTTCATCATATGTTTAAAACATAATTAATTTAAAACATTAATTATGTTCTTGATGCCCCTATGCAGCTTGTAGTGTCTTTGAATGAAATAGAAATTTTTTGAGGAAGTAAGGTTTTTCTGTCTACAATGTTCATAGCCATACTTCTAGCAAACATGCTTATAATAATACTTCAAACACTTCTGCCATTTTGTGTGCTTTCCTTTTTGTTGTATTCCAACAGTTTTTATAAATAAATCGGGATATTTTTTGACTTAAATTTAGTTTTAAAATATGGCCTTGCAGAATTTGCGAGCAATTTTACCACAATTCTGCGATAAAATTTCTGCAAGAATATAGAATTTTGATGAAAATTTTGTAAATGGTATAGTGAGGAAATGCTTTTCTCAAAAGCCGAGTGCTGGATGAACCCAGTTATCCTTTTTTTTTTTTTTTTTTTTCAAAAACGTATTTGGGGAGGAGAAAAGTGCAAAATAATAACAAAAAATTTTGTTTTGTTTTTTAATTAGTCATGTTAATTTTTATTTTATAATCCAAATTTCTATCTTCAAGTGTATTTGCTTTTGATATATTGATAATTTTTACCAATTTATGATAAATATCGACAGTTTGGGAATCATTGTAAGCAAAACGTGAAAAACCACACACTTGCACCCAATGAATAACTTTAAACTTTTCAACTGTAAAAAATCAAAAAATTGTTTTAAGGTTATTGCTTTCATACATATACAACTTTTTCTTGCTTGTGGGTTCATGCAAATGTTTCAGATATGTTTATACTTATATGTACCTGTTTATTGTTTACTATTAAGTAGTCAACTTTGACATCTGGTTGCTATGGAATATGTTGACTTTTATGTTTACCACCTTTACATTCTTCTTGTTCTGAAATTCTGAAGAATGATTAAATATTGCATTACCATGTGCATGCTGCAGCTAAGTGAATTTATTAAACATGGCTCTTTTTATGTTAAAACAAAATTTAAATATACTTCTGTGATTAGGCATAAAAATATGTTTCTCAACTTCATTAAGCTTTCAATCAATTTTTGCATATATCAATGCTGTAGAAAAAATTCCATGGGCATAAATAAAGGCATTGGGAAAATATTGTTTCCATGAATGTAAGAAACAGTTATTTACTAAATGTGTCTTTAAGACACATTTCATTTTTTAATTGCCAGAAGAAAACATAATTTAAAATTTTCAAGGACGCATACTGGCTTTCTATATGCATTAACACTATATGCATGTATCAAATTGCATATAGTATGTAACACTATATGCAATTTTATCTTATATTTCCTGTTGGTAAAAATATATTTACTGGTACCCCTTTACGAAAATTGACGATTTTTAGTGGTACATGGATACCGAGTATGTGCAATTCTTGCATTTGTTATTTTGACTTTAATCACCGCTACACAAAGACAAAATAACAAGTCAAAGAATTGCACAAACTCGATATCCATGTACACATTAACTTATTTACACCTAAAAAAAATCACAGAATTGCACAAACTAGGCGTTGCACACTCCCTTATCCATGTACACATCGAGCTATTTTCGCTTAAAAAAACATCAGAGAATTGCACAAACTTGGCATTGTGCATGGTGATAAATGAAATAACTTTGCAATAATACAAGGGGGTACCTTCCTGCTTTCTTTAAGAAGTATTTGTGCAGATCATCATTAAGAGAAATGGGAGCCTAAATTTATTTTGAAATTCGCCTATGGAGTATGGTGAAATATTTCTTTTATAATGCAACTTAAGAATAGGAAAGAATCTGCAAAATTGTGTGCTTTATTGTCTCTTTTTGTTATTTTTAACTCAAGAGATATTCTGTGTAAAAATTGTATTCAATTGATGTTCGCAAACATCATGTTCCTCTAACAGAAATAAGAAGTCTATTCTGGCAAATTTTGTCAGATCATTTTAATTTTATTTCATGGGATTGATTGAAGTAACAATACATCTGTTTTACTCTGCGTGTTTTATTTAATAAATCTTTTGCTAATTATTGCTGTAATTTTTTTGTCATTATTTACATCCTTAAAAGCAAAAGAATTAAATGTATTGAATTTAAGGATATATTTAAATATAAAAATTTTTAAATTTGTATTGTGAAAGTTTGCAATTGCATGTTTTAAATACCTTTTCCATATTTGAAAAGATTATTTTGATTTAAATCAAATATTAACTAATATGCATATAAAAAGTAGGTTATGGAATGAGTGTTGCTAGTGCCACTTGATACAAGTTCTTAAAAATTAACTTTTCTTTAAATAGCTTTAGATTAACTTCTTAATTTATTTTTAATAAAAAAGTACATCAAGCATAAGTGCAAAAATACAGAATTTTGTCAAAAATCCTCTAAAGGGAACAATGAGGAAATGAATTTGGTAGATAGATAGTCAGTGTTGTACTATGTTCAGTCTATGATGTCTTTCTGAGACAAAACAGCTTTATGTATGCTTGGGGGGAAGAAAGGGGAAAAAAATTCCAGAAAAATTTGGAGATGAATGTAAGTGTTTCATTCTTTTAATGTATCATGTCATCCTTATTTAATAATTAAAATTTATATTTTCATTTGCTGAAGTATATTCTTTTTTCATATATTTTTCATGAACATATGTTTTTTCATACATTTTTTTAAAATTGTATGAAAACCACCTCTTTCTAGTGAATAAGTGATGTTTGCCTTTTCATCGAATAAAAAAACAACCAAATTGCACCAAGATGGTTTTGTTATTATGGAAGTACCAAATTTTATTTAAGTATCTTGTCTTTTGTATTTCATAAGTAATCAGAGAGTTTAATAATCATATATCATTTACTGAAACTAATGTTTTGCTATGCAATAAGCCTTTCTGCAGAAATACCTTTAATATTCGAAATAATACATATAAATGTGTCTGTCTACAAACACATATAGTGCAGATTTATTCATATACAAATATGTAGTAGAAGACAGATGCAAACATGTTATGTCCTTCAGACAAACACAATATTTATATTTATGTATGAATATTTAACAACAGTATTTATGTATTTAATGTTATTTGCAAGATAAAATTAACCATACAATTAGAAATAAATCATTGTTAATGTTAATTACATATTTCATTATTTTTATTAGTTGTTAACTGATAGTGTAATACTAAACAGGTACCTTTATTGGGTAATGTCTACCAGGTAAATTACCTTAGTGCAAATACATAAAATCGACATTTGTACAAAATACTTGTATTAAAATGTGTTTTATATTTAAAGTAGGAAGCTAGTCAAAATTCTACAAAATTATAAATAGTTTGAGATATTATTAAATATAATTAGCCAAAACACATCTCAAGAGTTAAATTATAAATCTAATCTAAAAAATTATAAACAGTGTGAGTATTAATTATAAAATTAATTGGTCATACTAGTTATATTCATTAATTGATTGTAATGAAATAACTATCAGATAAATGTGTTACGTACATAATTATGAATGCACCACTAAATATAAATGAATGTCAGATGTACATACAAATATTTAATTGGCATGTAATTAAGATTTATGTCGTTGAAATAAATTAATTTACATGATCCATCATTTTTACTGCATCCTGTGCTTTAAAACAAGCATCTTAAGTCAAAATTTTCCACTTTTTCTCCCATTCTTCACAGCTATAATAACATCTTGGTTTTAAGCTTCCGGTCCCTGAACATACTTTTCTC